TTCTATAAAAATATGGAATATTTCATGAATTTGCTTGTCATCCTTGCACAGGAGCCATGCTAATCTTCTCTGGTCATTTCAATTTTAGTGTGTGTGCTGCCAAAGTGAGCACTCAAGCCTTTCTCTGTCTCTGACTTCTGTTTTCCATTATCACGTCTCTTTTTGTAACTCTGAACTTCCTGCCTCCCTGTTATAAGGAGGCGGGGCCCACTCAGATAATCCAGGATCATCTCCCCACCTGCAGATACTTAATCACATTTGTGAAATTCCTCTTGTAAGGCAACATTCACAAGATTATAATGTTGACACCTTTGAGGTGGTGTGTCTGCCCACCACAGGCCCCAGGAGTTCTGGTGTCTTGTCAAGCGGAGAAGTGAAGCAGACTTTGTGACTCCCCGGGGATCAGAGTGTGTGGATCAGGGCTGGTCTGGGGTGAGGGGATCAGAGTGTGCGGATCAGGGCTGGTCTGGGGTGAGGGGATCAGAGTTTGAGGATCAGGACTGGCCTAGGGCAAGGGGTACCTTCTCTTAGGGAGCATGAGCTTACCTACCCTCTTCACAGTGGACCTTCCAGATCGGTACAGGCATTGTCATGGGTCTGACAAGGATTCTGCCTCTCTGCTGATCCTACAGCTTTCCCACTGCAGAAAGCATTGAGCCCCACTTTCCCACCTACCTGGCAGATACCAGGCCCTGGGTTCTGGGCAGGGTAAGAGATTACTGGGTTCTGAATCCCCTCCTCCTGCCTGCCTCATTTTTTTGTCTCTCTCCCATTACCTTGACATTAAGGTTTTCAAACTGGGCAGATTAAGTAACCAACGCCTGACTTCAGCATCTTCTTGAAGTCTCATCTTCTTGATAACCTTTCACCCTCCCTTTTTTTATAAGCCAGGAAACAAAAGAAAAAGAGAGGAGAAGATGCCCAAGAAATACAGAGAAGTCTGGGATTCCATGGGGCCCTCTAGAGAAGCAGCAATCCTCCACACAGTCAGATTACAATGCACAAGAACCCATCTATGTCTTCCTGTTTATTTTGTCCAGCTAGCCCCACATTATAAAAATTCTCTCTAATGTTAGGATCTTCCTCACCTATAAGAAGCATCTCTGGGGAATTCCTTGGCAGTCCAGTGGTTAGGACTCTGAGTTCTCATTGCTGAGGGTCCGGATTTGATTCCTGATTAAGGGAAACTAAAATCCCACAAGCTGTGGGGCTCAGCCAAAAGAAAAAGGAAGCACCTCTGATTTCCTTGGGCTGACCTAGGGGCTCTGTGTGGATGCCTGCCAAGCTTCTGTGAAGAGCTGTACTGTTGTCATGTTGCTTTGTGATCTTTTAGCTCAGCCTTCTCCCCTCTTCCAGTGTGAATTTCCTAAAGAAATGAAGAGGTACATAATTGTGTCTTATTTATAACTCCCCCCACCAGGGTATCTAGTAAGGTTCTTTGTAGATGATGGTTGGATGGAAGGATGGATGGAGACTCTCACATCTGAAGCTGCAATTTCCCCTTGTCCCCATCCACATGTGGCTTCCCTGAGGTCACTGTATCTCAAGCATGCAGAACTCAAGATCTGGCCGGGAAGAGAGTGGGGACATAGCCCTCAGCAACAGAAAGGGCTCTGGGTATAGACAGACAGAAACAGGATGCCTGAGGAAGGCAGGGTCTTGGCAAGTGTTGCCTTTCGTCACTGACCTTTCCTCTTGGGATGGAAGCTCAGGTTTCAGCCTGCTGTGAGGGAGGCTAACCTGGGGTACCGGGAGACTGAAAGTACCTTCCCTCCCCTCGGTCTCAGGCTGTGATCACCTAGGGCCAAGGGTCAGACGGGGGTGGGGAGGGGGCTGCAGCCTTTGTCCAAGGAGATTAGTGTCACAGGCAGCGATCTCCCCCACCCTATTCTCAAGATTTCTCTATTATGTCTGAAAGATCTCTGAAAAGGCTAGAGGTTAAAGATTAGTTAAGGGCTGGCTTCTTGTGGGGATAGGCTTAGGAAGGACAGGAGACAGGCACAGTAAGTTAACTTGACAAATTGTCCTTTCCTTCAAACTTCTCCGTGTCCCCAGGAACACTGAAGAAGCCTTTCTGGCTGCCTGGTTAAGCCGGCACATGGGGAGGTGACCACATTTTGCCCTCTCGTCCCCTTGGCAAGGATGATCTCTGCATGATGACATCATGATCTGGTTCCTCATTCTGTAATCCTTACCTCCCCTGGAGTCACAAGGGTTTTGTTTCCTAATCTTCCTTTCATATATCAGTCTCCTTTATCCTTTAGTCATTATTGCTTGTGTCTGCTTGAACTCCAGGGGCCCAGGGGCCCAGCCTTGTACCTAGGGGCCTAGGGAGGAGTTGAGATTACAGGCCTAATTACTTGTTAGCAGGCATGTGATCCTGAAATTCTTATTGAATTGAGCAAGATCATGTGTATGTATCAGGACATCTCAGCCCATCTGGAACATTTACAAAATGTTCTCCTAGTTCGGGCACATGAAATCCTTCCTCTGAAAACATGTTTTGATTCTCATTATATGACACCATCTTGGATAAAAGCTCCTCCACTAGGAATCAAGAGTTCCTGCCCTTGAAGTTCTGCGTCCTGCAGCTGTTTTGACACTGTGAAACCAACTGAGAAGGTTCCTGGAGAGCTGGAGAGATTGGTGCCCACTGTAGAATGTGTAGACTGAGATGAGACTGGAGGATTGATGAATTGTGGCATTTTTTTATTCAAGTATTAAGTATTTGTTGAGCACCTACTATATGCGGGCACCAATGATATGCTCTGGCTTCCCTGGTGTCTCAGCGGTAAAGAATCTGCCTGTCAGCGCAGGAGACTTGGGTTTGATCCCTGGGTTGGGAAGATCCCCAGGAGAAGGAAATGGCAACCCACTCCAGTATTCTTGCCTGGAGAATCCCACAGACAGAGGAGCCTGACAGGCTACAATTTTTTTTATCGGGTTGAAAAAGAGTCGGACATGACTTAGTGATTAAACAACAATGACAAATGATATGCCCTGGGTTAAAAATATGAAAAAGTCATAGCCCTGCCCTTCTACAAGGAGACACACAAAAAAAGAAAGAGATAATTATAATACAAAGAAATAAGTACCAGCCTTATTAACAAAGTGGTCTGGGAGTAGAAAGGAGGTATGAACTTTGTTCCTTGTCTACAAAATGCAGCTGATACATCTTACCTGGCAGGCACCTTGTTAGGAATAAATAAAATAATAAAGACTCATGGCGCGGGTGACATTTGAGCTGGATCTTGAAAGATAAGGAGGTTCCTAGGTAGAAACAGCATGGGGAGGGAGGTTACAGATGGATAATAATGTCAGGTCCTTACCCTGAGGAGATGTTCTCAGAATCAAGTAAGGTTGCAAAATACCTGGAAAGTAGAAGCACAGTTTCAGGAGAAGGTGTTGATAGAACCTGGTCAGCTGTTCAAGTAAAATCAGAGGCCTGATTAGAGGCTTGAGGAGAGAGAGTCTCACTACACGTATGGCTTGTGCCCTGAGAGGTTGAGGGCACATCCTCCTGTCTGTTTCAGGGGAAGGGGAAACAAGGGGATTTTAATTTTTTTCCCATATTCTCAAGTACTTCATAACCATCAGGAAGCTGGGTTACTGCAGCCCCTGTGCTCCCCTAAGTTGCTTAAGGAGTGTGGCAGTAACCATCCTATCGCTTAGCTTTTGAGCTCTCGGCCAGCCCTTGGAGGTTCCATGTTGTTAGTGATTCTTTGGGATCCTTGTGACTCCTAGCCCCCCATGCCACCAAAGAAGATATGGGGATGGTGGCAAATAAACATGAAAACATGCTCAATAGCATTAGTCTCTAGGGGAATGCAAATCAAAACCTCAATGAAATGTCACTACACACTCTTTAGAAATGGTCAGACTTTTGAAGCTGACAATACCAAATGCTGCCAAGGATGCAGAGCAACAGGAGTATACATTCCTGGTGGGAATTCAAAATGATATAATCACTTTGGAAAACAGTTCAGTAATTTCATATAAAGTCAAACTACATTCACCATATGACCCAAAATCCCATTCCTGGAAATTTACTTAAAAGAAATGAAAACTCCCCTCAAAGACCTCTATGATCCACTCAAAAATTTCTATGCAGGTTTATAACAGCTTTATTTATAATAGCCCCAAACTGGGAGCCACCCAAATGTCCATTGCCTTCAATAGAATAGAAAACTAATACATTCATGTAATGGAATGTTGCTTGACAGTAGAAAGGGACTGTTAATATATACAGCAACACGAATGGATCTCAGAACCACCTTTTTAAGTGAAATAAGCCAGACACAAAAGGCTGCGTATTGTATGATTCCATTTATGTGACATTCTGGAAAAGGCAATATTCTGGGGACAGAAATTAAATTGGTTGTTTCCAGAGGTAAGGGAAAGGGGCTGACCTCACAGGAGTACAGTATATAAAAGGACTCTTAGGGGTGTTAGAAATGTTCTAGACAGAGGGTGTCATAGTGACTAAACAACTGAATACATTTGTCAAATCTCATCAAACTGTACACTTACAAAAGTGAGCTTTACTAAATGTAAATTAGAACTTGAAAAAGCTGAGTAACAAAAGATTCCCCTAAACCTTGTTACCCTAAAATCAGGTTTAGGAAGACAACATCCAGGATTCTACCAGCTGCTCAGGGCTGCTCTTGAGCACACAATATCTTGAGCCCACATTCATGGCCTGATGAGAGGCTGATTTTTTTCCCCAAAGTCAGTGCCCACACTTCCATGCTCACTTCCAACTTCTAAACCTGAGCAGGGCATGTTCTGACCAAGGTCTAATTTGTGGCATGCAATCCCCATTTGGAACCCCACCTACTAACCCCACCAAAGTTTCAGATGCTGGTGATGAGCCTGCGGCATTTTTGGCTCACCTATTACAGTCTCTTCATCAGGACCAAGGAGCGTTGCTACTTCTGTCCAGAGGGATCCGGTATTCTCCTTATGGCCCTGAGGATATGTTTGGGGGTCTGTCATTGCAGTGCTCCTCACATGGGTCAACTGCTTCAGTGTGCGGTGGGCCACCCGGGTTCAAGACATCTTCACAGCTGGGAAGCTCCTGGCCCTGGCCCTGATCATCATCATGGGGATTGTACAGATCTGCAAAGGTGGGTATCATCAGAACGTGCCAACCCTTGCATGTACACACACCCTCACACTGTCTTTGGATGTGCACACAACCTGAGATGTCCCAATTCTATCCTTTTCTTATGTATTGTTACTATTTATTTATTTGGCTATGCCAGGTCTTAGTTGTGGCATGCGGGATTGAGTTTTCCCAGAGCAGGGATTAAACTAGGGCCCACTGCATTGGGAGCCTTAACCACTGGACCACTAGGGAAGTCCTTGAATGAATTTTCTTATTCACTTGCTTGACAAAGGGGACAAGAAGCCAATTTACCCAGGATGGTTGGGAGCTGAGCACCCCCTGCGGGGTGTGTGTTCCAGCACAGGTAGATGAAGATTCCAGATTTCTAGACATTGCTGTATGTCCCAGCTCCAGGGAGGCTCTTTGTATCTTATATTTTATCTTGTCTGTATCTTAAAATGGGAGACAGAGATTTTTACACATTTCAGAAATTACTCAGCTCCACAAGAAAGAGCTCTACATTCCTGGGGCCCCTGCCAACATTCCTCATTGGATTGGCCCTTTCCACGCCCGAGTCTGTATTTGGTTTCCATGGTTCCCATGGCAGCACTAGATTTTGCCTAGTGTCACTACCTCCTAGAGAAAGTCAGATGACAAACAGGGGGACCTCCCACCCGCCCACAAGCCCTAGAGGTGGTATGGTGTGTCTGGATTTTGATTCCAGGAAACAGAATTAAGGTTCAGCTATATAATGGGCCTAATTATTTTCATCCGTTGGATTCACTTCTTTAGCAGGTGGTATTGTTTTCAGGAGTTGAGACTTAAGGAAATCGCTGGGCTATCTTTTCAAGATATGAGACTCTCCTAATCTGGTCTCAATGCCTTCTCCGGATCACTCCCATCTCATTATTTCCTGTCTAAATGCTCGATTATGGGTGAAGATATAAAGTATGGTCAGCTACTCTGTATCTCACTGCAGTCTTAGTCAGCAGCCTTTCCTGAGGACCCCTTGTGTACAGGATACTGTGCTGAGGGGTGAGAAGGCAATTGGAAAGCTGTCCACTGAAGATTCCCCGTCTTCAGGAGATTTATTCCATGAAAAGATAGACCAAATACACACCCTAGGAAGAGGCAGGAGGATATTGACAAAGAAAGCACAGCAAGCTTGAGCTAATAGCATCACAGAAGCTTATGTTTGAGTGTCTGTTGTACTTGCTGCTTTCTCCATGAAAATGTACAAACTTGGATATGAGGGAGGGTGGTCAGAAGACTGCTAGTGACTCCACTCCTGCATCTCTGAGTCCTAGCGAGCCAGCTCCATTTACCCTGCCCTGCCCAGTAACCTCTCCTGGTCTTTCCTTCCAAGGAACCCTGCCTTTTGACAAAGGAACATTCAGAGCTGTGCTTTGGACCTGAGCCCTGATTTGGACTCATCATTATCATGTTCTGGGGGGTCCTGAACTTCTCGGCCCATTTTTGGCCCCATTTCACCAATATGTGGGGTTAGCTGGAGACCAGGGACCTGGGGCTGCCGGGCGCTGACATGTGTCTCTCTGAGCAGCCTCCTGTCCGTGTGTCCACAGGACAGTACTTCTGGCTGGAGCCAAAGAATGCATTTGATAATTTCCAAGAACCGGACATCGGCCTCATCGCACTGGCTTTCCTTCAGGGCTCCTTTGCCTATGGAGGCTGGAACTTTCTAAATTACGTGACTGAGGAGCTTGTCGATCCCTACAAGTGAGTTACAACAGCTCTCCCCCTCCCCCTTCAATATCCAAGGCACCTGCCACTGGAAAGAGGGAGCCAGGTGCCCAGCGCCCACTTCTCCCCATAGCCCCCTTCCAACCATGACCTGGTCTAGCCTGAAGAAATGGTTCATTTTCCAGGAACTTAGACCATTTATCACTCACCCTGCAGGAGAAAAACAATCCAGTGACTTCCCTGGAGGAGATTACAAGCTGAAAGTGGTGCTGAGATAACCCCACTGCCTTAGAGAATGAAATGTGTCCTGAGAGAATTCCAGGCATCTTACTCACCTGTCTTGCAACAGGCAGGTCTTTGTCTTGAGGTGTAGGAATTATGGGGGGTGGGGGAGTGCATTGTGAAGATTCTGATCAGGAAGAGATAAACAGGTATGGAGTGTATTTCCAGCCTAAGCTGTCTAGTTTCCTTTCAACTGTCCTGCCCATATGGAGACAAAATCCACTCCCCAAATAGAGGGAACATCACAGAAGCCTGCACAGGCAGCTTCCTGCAGGGAGACAGAAGGCACTCCCCGGACCCCCTGACGAGGCAGGTGGTCCAGGTGCCAGACCTGCGCCTCTCACCTCCTCTCCCTCCACAGGAACCTTCCCAGAGCCATCTTCATCTCCATCCCACTGGTCACATTTGTGTATGTCTTTGCCAATGTGGCTTATGTCACTGCGATGTCGCCCCAGGAGCTGCTGGCATCAAATGCAGTCGCTGTGGTAAGAAATTAAACTTGAGGAGGGATAAATTAGGAATAGGGACTAACAGAGATGCACTACTATATATAAAATAGATAAACAATAAGGACCTACTGTATAGCACAGGGAAATATATTCAATATCATGTACTAACCTGGAATGGAAAAGAATCTGAAAAGGAAGATATATATATATCATTTATATATATAAAGATACATATATATATATATATATCACTGAGTTGCTTTGCCTGAAACAGTAAGTCAACTATACTTCAACTTAAGAAAAGGATAGAAATCAAACTTACATGTCCTCAAAACTTAACACCACATTGTAAATCAACTATACTCCAATAAAAATTTAAAAGCAAAAACTCTCATATGCTTGTGGCTTATGTCACTGCGATGTCGCCCCAGGAGCTGCTGGCATCAAATGCAGTCGCTGTGGTAAGAAATTAAACTTGAGGAGGGATAAATTAGGAATAGGGACTAACAGAGATGCACTACTATATATAGAATAGATAAACAATAAGGACCTACTGTATAGCACAGGGAAATATATTCAATATCATGTACTAACCTGGAATGGAAAAGAATCTGAAAAGGAAGATATATATATATCATTTATATATATAAAGATACATATATATATATATATATCACTGAGTTGCTTTGCCTGAAACAGTAAGTCAACTATACTTCAACTTAAGAAAAGGATAGAAATCAAACTTACATGTCCTCAAAACTTAACACCACATTGTAAATCAACTATACTCCAATAAAAATTTAAAAGCAAAAACTCTCATATGCTCTCAAACCAGGAACGGTGACATAGCCTCACTGCTTTAGTCCCACTCACTTTCCCCTGATCCATGACTTTGGGTTTGGAAGTCAAGTCCTCAGGGCAGAAGCCACATCTTCAGGTGCCTAGGAGCAATCAAAATATTTACTATTTGACCCTTGACAGAAAAGTTTGCCTACGCCTGATCTGTGGTGGTAGTTTAGTCACCAAGTCGTGTCTGACTCTTTCAATCCTATGGACAGTAGCCCACCAGGCTCCTCTGTCCTCGGGACTTCCTAGATAAAAATACAGGAGTGGGTTGCCATTTCCTTCTCTAGGGAATCTTCTCAACGCAGGGATTGAACCAGCATCTCCTGAGTCTCCTTGGCAAGCTGATTCTTTATCAGTGAGCCAGCTGGGAAGAGCTAACTGCTGACCGAGGACACTTTAAACTCGATATGTGATGACTGTAAAGGAGATAGGCTCCTCCTCAGAAAGTCACTATCTTTCACAAGACAGGCCATTTCCCTCTGCCTCTATAACTGCACCTGGACATCCTGACTCCTTCCCTCATCAGGGAAAAGCGTGTGCAGTTTGTGTTCTTTGGGGAAAGAGATCTTGCAGGTCCAAGGCATTGTGGTCCTTGTTACCTGGGAAAGACCTGGGAACCATGTAGTTCCCTCATGTGGCTTCACCTGGACCACGGCCCACCCCGCCACTGTTATCACATGTCTCATCTCTGAAGACCGTAAAGAAAGAGGCAGTAGTCAGTTCACAGACATCCAACCCTCCCCAACAGGACAGCTCTTCTAAACAACCCCTCCCCCAAATGTGCTATAAATTATATATAAATACAAATGCTGTAACTCAAGTATGTCCCTGGCTCAGAGAATGTGGAAAAAGCTGCTCCCCCAACATTTTATATCCTTTCAATACATGAAGACTAGTGTATAGCTTCACCACCTTTTCTTCCTTAGCCTATGTAGTGGTTTGTTCTTATACCCCCCACCCTCCCGCAATATCTTCTGTTTCTATGAATTAAGATTTATTTCTGTTTTACAGATGGAAAAGCTGAGGCTCAAAAATTAAGAACTTTGCTGAAGATCTCATAGCTCCTAAATGCTAGGCTATGATTTGAACCCCAGCCCGCCTGACTCACTAGCGTACCTTGTACGCGAGGCCTGGACTCACACAGTTGGCTTCCGGTCCTCACCCTCCACTTTCTGGGTGTGTGATCTTAGGCAAACTACTTAATTGCTTTGTGCCTCAGTTTCCTTATCCATACAGCAAGGATAACAAATGTTTATTATTATTATCACCACCACACACATACTTGTTCGATATTCAGTCCCAAACATTACTGACTCCCCACTGTGAAGTCATCACCAAGAGAACTAGGGGTGCATGAGGGGCCAGGACATGGACTCCACTGTCCCTCCTTCCCAGGACTTTAACCCGAGAGACTCGGCAGAAGTGGGCTTGGGATGGAGCCTTCTCAGCAGTGACACGCATGTGGAAGGCTGTGAGCTCGCCTTCTCTACTCACCCTCTTGTTTTCCCTCTTAGACTTTTGGAGAGAAACTCCTGGGAGTCATGGCCTGGATCATGCCCATTTCTGTCGCCCTGTCTACATTTGGAGGAGTCAATGGGTCCCTCTTCACCTCCTCCCGGTGAGTGCCATCCAGGCCCTTCCAGGGCCAGGGACCCCTCTGCCGTGCGTATTGCTCTGTATATGTGGGGGGCTTGTCTCCATCAATGGGGCTCTGTGTGGGCGCCTGGCGGAGGAGCCTGTGCTGCTCATGTGATGACGCACGATGTGTGTGGCTTTACATGCGGTGGCAAGAAGAACCAGCCTTCCCACCTCATGTTCAGAGGAGCAGAAGGCTGAGGAGGCCTGGGCTGTGTGCTTGGCAGCAGGACAGCGTCTTGCCTGCAGCCTTGGAGTCCCTTTTCCACTTGCCTAGAAACGGGCCATACTGGCTGGAAAGGAACCCCACTCTGAAAGGGACCAGGAGGGACCCTTGCCTGGGGCCTCTGGGCTGACCTCCCGTGGAAGACCTGGGTCCAGACTGCAGGTGGAACCGGCTCATCTCTGAGTGCCCTGAGGGTGCAGGCTCCTCCCTGTTGAACAGACAGGCAGCTGTGAGAGGCCCTTGTGTGGCCACCATGAGACTCGGGTAGGGGTGTGAAGTGAGACAACTAGGGAAGAACGGAAGGGAAACATTTGTCCAAAGCCATATCCCTCACCCCAAACTCTCAGGGAAGCCCAAGGTGTGAGTGGGCCCAGGAGTCCCCAGCCCCCACCTCCGCACACCTGGACACCTGGCCCCCTCTTTGATGTCCCGTCTTGTTGTCTCCAGAATGAGCAGTTGGGCCCAGCAGATGCTGGACGATTTCCATTGCTGTGGCTCAGGGTCCTCCCAGGGTTCTTAGGAAACCCCTCTCCCTCAAGGGCACAGTCCTACTCGCTAGCAGTGAGCCCCTGAGTTCAGCTGCTTCCCAAGCCACCAGTCACATCAGGGAGGAGTTCCCATGAAATGACAAACGAGTGTCGTGTTTTCAGGACAGGGAAGGGAAGAGGGCAGGGCAGGGAAGAGGGCGTGTGGGCGTCCCCTGCACCCCAGGACCCTCTGGCACTCACCCGCGGCAACCTCGTATGCGTGTTACACAGGAGCAGTGGCCACCTGGAGGCCTCAGCCGAGGGCGAGCGGTGGAAGATCAGTGACCCATGAGGCTCTCTGGGATCTATTGGAGGAGAGTGACTGGCCCCAGTCGCTTTAGAGTGGGGTTTGTCCCTCGGGCAGGCTGAGCAGCGGTCTGCGTGCATGTAGTCCAGCTGTGTGTGCATGCAGAGGCGGCGGCCCGGTGCGCTCAGCCTCGGAGTCAGAGGCACAGCTCACCCAGCAGGCCTCCTCAACTCATCTTTCCAGTTCCTTCCTCCCTTCCCTCCTCTCTCTTACTCCTTTGTGTTTGGTGGAAGGGAGAGGATGATTCTTCCTGAGGAGTAGGCGTGTGTCGCACTTAATGTCACGTCTGCTCCGTGGTTGGCTAGCCGGGCAACGATTGTCTCTTGTGAACTTGACTTGCCAGTGCTGTTGGACCTGTCAACTCCCTTGGTCCTGGCTGCATGTGAAGGAGACATGTGAACATGACACCCTGGTTTTGTGCATGGTGAGGCCCCCAGAGCACCTGGGGCCCCGCTGGGTGCATGAGGCTGCCCTGCAGAGGCGATGCCGTGTAGCTGCATGAAACCATGACGTGGGTGAGGTTGCTGATGGTGGCAACGATGGTGTGCATATGGGTACTGGGGGCCATAATCAACCCTTACACTCCTCAGGAGCCGCTGCTGATAGCCCCACTCTCCCCCATACCTAAATGACAAAGTGACAGTTCTCTTAAGACCACCCAGCGTGCTGACTCTGTGCCATTCTTCCCCCCGCCATCACATCCCCTTCCTCTCACCCCTTAGCTGATCCTTTCCCTCCAAAATCATAGAAAAAAGAAAAAGTGGTCTGATTTCTACTAATATGTAAATGACTCCTAACAGCTTACAGTATTCTCTTTTTTCTTGGGAGAGGAAAGAGGAGGAAGGGCTGCTCTTCATGTTAAAATTTCTCTCTCTCTTTTTTTTTTATCCTGGCTGCGCTGGGTCTTGCTGCATCAAATGGGCTTCTCTAGTTGTGTGTGGGCTTCGTTGCCCCACAGTATGTGGGATCTTAGTTCCCCAACCAGGGATCAAACCTGTGTTCCCTGCATTGGAAGGCAGATTCTTAACCACTAGACCACCAAGGAACTCCCTAAAATCTCTTTTTAAAAATAATTTGTAAACATCAATATCCAGGTCATGATACTGTAGTATAGTTTTGCGGTATATTACCAATGGGAGAGTTTTGGATGAAGTCTACGTAAGGTCACGTTATTTCTTACAATTGCATGTGAGTCTACAAGTATCTCAAAAAGAAAATTTATCATTATTTTAAACTTAAAAAATAATTTTTTGGGAATTTCCTGGAAGTTAAATGGTTAGGACTCCATACTTTCATTGCCAAGGGCCCAAGGTTCAATCTCGGTCAGGGAACTAAGAGCCTATAAGCTATGGCACAGTGCAGGAAAAAAAAAAGTTTAAGTTTCTTGTCTGTTTTTTTTTTCAATCTTTTTTATCTTACAATATCTTTGTATGTACTCCTTTTACTAGCTGTATGCAGTTCTTTAGGATGGTTTTTTGGGATTAGAATAAATAGCTTAAGGATATAAATTTTCAGGTATAATTTACATACCACAAAATACCCAGATCATAAGTGTTCAGACTGATGAATTTTGACGATTGTAGACAACCATGTAACTACCACCCACAACATGATGATATAGAACATTTCCACATATTCCACCCCCCCACCCCCCCCAAGTTCTCATGTGTCCCTTCCTCATCCATATCCATTCCCCACCCCCAACAAAGGCAACTGCTTCTTGACCAGGATATATGTTTTCATGTACAGTTTATTCCCCATGCCCCAAAGAACCTATATCCTCTGAGGGAGGAGGCACATTTTTTAAGGAATTAAGGCATTAAGCAAAGGAGAGGGGCTACTCCTACAGCTCTCCAAGCTTTGTGAGAGAATCTCAGAGTGACAGCACATCATCAGGAACCCCAGACCACACTCAAGGTCTCTGCACCCCTGAATCCATCCACGTATCCACTGACTGCCTCTGGTTTGCCTGCACCTGCATTTGTGAATGTGGGTCCTTTGACTAGTGGGCTGGAAGGTATGCACGAGAAGTACCTGGCTAGAGTGGAGATGCTCCTGTACAGGCAGAGGTGGACCTGGATGAGGGAGCTGGGCTCGGGAGGGAGCATCCTTGGATGGTCCATGGGCCATCCCGGGCTGACCTGCTTTTCTCTCTGCCAGGCTGTTCTTTGCTGGAGCCAGGGAGGGCCACCTTCCCAGCGTGTTGGCCATGATCCACGTGAAGCGCTGCACCCCCATCCCAGCCTTGCTCTTCACAGTAAGAGTCCCTCCCTCTGCCAGCCCTATACACGCCCTCCCTCTCTGTGCTATTTTGAACTGGGAGTTCATACTTCCCACACGTGCCGCTATTACCCTTGTGCTCCTAGGATTCCCGGGGTCTCTGATGATCTAGCAAATGGTATACATGGGCCTGATTAGTATCAGGAGATATAGCAAGAAAGGAGCCTGAGTCCTGAAATGTCTTAAGGCTCCCAGGCTGGCTCATCTCATTCTTCCATCTTTTTGAGTCAGACTGAAGTAGCTGCTTCCAGATTCTACAAGCTCACAAAGAAGCTTTTTTTCTTGGCTCCTCCTGCCCCTGTCACCCACAGGGTTGCAGCTTTGGGCCTCTGCTCCTGGCTGATCACAGCACACTCCCACCCCTCCCCATCAATCCTCTTGCCCGAGGAGGCTCTGCCAGTCTCTGGGGAAACACCACTGAAATAAATCTGGTGTTCACCAAATCTGGGGTCACACCAAATAAGAAAAATCAGCAGGGAAGACTGGTAAACTGAAAGTGGAGAAAAGGAAATAAGGGGGGTGTCTGGTAAATGGAGGCAGAATTACACCAGAGTAGAATCATTTATACAGAGCATACAGAAGGAGAAAAGACTTATTATCCCCAGTGAGGCTTTGGGTTTTTTCTTTTTTTCTTTTTTTCTTCTAGATCCCAACTAAAATATCAAAAATGACTTTGGTATAACAGAGAAGCAATTAAACCAGAGAGCAGAGCTCTCAAGAGTCAAGGGCATTCACTGTACATTAGGGGAAATTTCAGAATGTTCTGATACAGGAAGAAGGTCATCTTGATTGGTCAGTGGTGAAAGGCAGCTGGAGAAGACTCAGTACTCCCAGTAAGCCACAAGCTTTTTCCCAGTTTTCGCCATTGGTGCAGGCTTATGATGGCAACCCACTTCAGTATTCTTGTGTGGAAAATTCCATGGACAGAGGAGCCTGGTAGGCTCCAGTCCATGAGGTCGCAAAGAGTTGGACACAACTGAGCAACTTCACTTTCTTTCTTTTCTTTATGACTACAAGGCAACTACAGTAAGAATCTGGCTTTTTTATCCCTTAAATTCTTGATTATTTTCACCATCATATCTTACAGGAGAACTGAGCCTTCTATTGGCCTTAACAAATTAGCAGAGGGAGAGAATATGCTTCTGAGAGAGCCACTGAGATGATTTTGAAGTTGGGATGTGAACTCTGTCAAGAAAACTTCAGAAGGACGTTATGAGGGTTACATGAGTTAATATTTGTAGAATGCTAAAAATAGAGCCTGATACTTAGGAAGTGCTATATAACTGTTTATAACATTTTTTTAATTAAAAAAAAAAGGAAGGAAGAAAAATAAATTAGATGACTCAACCAGGAAGAGAGGATGAGGGCAAGAATAAACCTTAATCTCCAGTTAACAGTCTTCCCTAAGGGATAAAAGACAAAATTAGCTTGAGCTACAACCAGGGAGAAATATAAATGAGACCAGAGTGGCATAGAGCTGGGTGCCACCAGCGTTGCCAGTCCAGGTGTATACAGCCGGCATCTGTTCTGAGTGGTTAGTGCCCATGTTGTACCCATGGTTAAATGTTTTGATTATCACTCCTGCAGTAAGAAAGAACTTCCTGGTGATGAAGCTGTTAGCAATGACGTGGGTTTCTAGGAGAAGCTATAAAGTCTCCATTTTGAGAGATCCACTGTGGAATGGCATTGTCTGCCTAGAGGCAGGGGAGCAGCCCGCCACCAGTAAACAGCTCCTCTGGTCTCCCAGTGCCTTTCTGATTACTGATGAACTTCTTCCACACCCCCCAGTGCATCTCCACCCTGCTGATGCTTGTCACCAGCGACATATACACGCTCATCAACTACGTGGGCTTCATCAACTACCTCTTCTATGGCGTCACGGTTGCTGGACAGATAGTTCTTCGCTGGAAGAAGCCGGACATCAACCGCCCCATTAAGGTGCTAGAACCTCCCTGTGGGGCCCCCTCCTCCTCCTCCACTTGCTTCTAGCTGAGCTCAGATTTTTTTAAATCATCTTGTTCTCACTGCTGACCAAGCCTCATCATCTCCATGATGGTGGGAGACCCTTTGGGAAGCAAAGGCCATGTGTGAAGGGGGCAGCCATTTCCATTCTCCACGGGACCAGAGCAAACTGCAGCTGGAGGAATAGATTCGATGACCTGATAACTTCCATCATGTCATTCCTTCCATCATGTCATTCCTTTGTTTCCTATGGCTCTAAGTCTTTAAAAAGTCAGCTGACTTTTCCTGGACCTTCTAATCTGACCAGTCTCCTCCTTATCCCTCCGCATGACTGGCTTTACTCATTCAGTCTCTCCATCTCATCCCAGAATGCATTTCCTTCTCCCATCTGCCTCTCCAAATTTTAACCATTTTCCATACTCAAGAGCCTCTCTTTCTTGAAGTTCCCCAGTCCCCTTCAGCACTCCATGATTCTCCCTTTTTAAACTACTATAGCTTTGCACATAGTAGGGTGCCTGTTAAATCTCTTGATTGTGCAAGAAATAATTTTGTGATAGAAATAAATGGGATTGCTCAGAACAACATACACTAGAGTGCTATAGGTTCTCCTGCAACTTGGAAGAAGAGGACATATCCCTGAGCTATTTGAACAATCCTATTCTGGAAATGAGCTTACCTGGTGGCTCAGGTGGTAAAAACATCTGCCTGCAATGCGGGAGACCCAGGTTCAATCCCTGGGTCAGGAGGACCCCTTGGAGGAGTGCCCATCAACCCACTCCAGTATTCTTGCCTGTAGAATCCCATGGATCGAGGAGCCTGGCGGGCTACATTAGTCCATGGGGTTGCAAAGAGTCAGACACAACTGAGCAGCTAACACACATTCTGGAAACACAGGGAGACTAGATGCTCTTCACATCTCTGTTTTCCATTGCCACTTTCCTGCCATGCTTAGAAAATGTGCTAGAGGGAAAAGGAAGCAGAATAACGCCATCTCCCTACCACTTGCATACCCTCCGAGAGGAGAGGACAAGGAGGAGAAAGGCAGTGAGTCTAGAACCTTGAAGAAGACTCTATGGGGGACTTCCCACCTGTGGTCAACAAGAGGATGTTGGGCCTGTAGAATTTGCTTCTTCCTGAAGTAAACAAGTTCCCGGGCTGCCTTATACCGTACTAGCTTTCCTGATTTCTTGGGTCTGAGGTTTATCCTCTCAAATGGCTTAAAACAAATTGGAACTGACTCTGGTGAGAGGAGGGACACTTCCCACATCCTGCCAGCTGGGAGAGGATAGGGGTCTGGTTGACAGAAGCTCTCCTTCTTGCCCCCATTCATTTCTTCTGCTCTCCTTCACCTTCAGCCCTCAGTAGACATATACCAATATGCCATCTAGCTCAACCCCCATGGGCTTCTGTGACTACCGTGGGCATGCAGCTGCATGATGAAGCCTTGTTTGATCCCCCCTGGGACAACAATGAGGATTGCCCCCTCCCTAGGCGCCCAAACTCCTCGTACTGTCCCACTGCCCATGTTCACCAACATCTCTCGACAGAGCACTTGCCCTGCCAAGACTCAGGGTGGGAGAGCCACAGAGCTGAGTGAAGCCCAGCTTTGCCCTCCAAATGCTTCCCTTTGGGAAGAAGAGGGAAGATGTCCTGATCTTGGGGGCCACAGGGTCCACACAGGTAACAGCGACTCTGATCCACAGGTCAGCCTGCTGTTCCCCATCATCTACTTGCTGTTCTGGGCCTTCCTGCTGGTCTTCAGCCTGTGGTCAGAGCCCGTGGTGTGTGGCATTGGCCTGGCCATCATGCTGACAGGGGTGCCGGTCTACTTCCTGGGTGTTTCTTGGCAGCACAAGCCCAGGTGTTTCAATAAGTTCATTGGTGAGTTGCTGAAGATTATGGGCAGCCAGAGGGCCCCTGGTCTGGAGTATAGTGGTCACTGGTCTGGCTCGAGAGCCCAACCAGGATCAGGAGGCTGTCTACAGAGCACTGGAGGAAGGGTTACCACAGGAAAGGTCTCTGCTCAGAGACCTCTGAGGAGAGAACTGTGGGCATTTCCACACAGACCTTAGGCCTGCCAGAGTGGCCATCCCGGAGAAGCTGGCATGGGCTGGGTGGAGACCCCAGAACTGGTGGTCAGTGGGCCTGGGGCCTTGATGAGCTGGAGCGGCCAGCAAATAGGCATCCCAGAAATGGAGGAGGCAGGCAGGGTGGCCGTCTCCTGGAGAGGGAGTCTCCTAGAGGAGCCTAGCTGAGGCCAGACGCTGAGGCATGAGAGTGGGAAGGGCCATGGCCTGGTTGGGTGGGTTGGTGGGATGCTCAGCACTGACCTGGCTTCTGCGTGGCCTCCTCCTACAGAGTTGCTGACCCTGGTGAGTCAGAAGATGTGTGTAGTTGTGTACCCCAAGGGGGATAAGGATCCGAAGATGGAGGAAAGGAACCAGGACATGGAGCAGCAGCAGCCCATCTGCCAGCCCCCTGCCTCCAAGGACAAGGACGTGGAGCCCTGAGGACCACCCTCCCCTCTCAGCTGCCTCCCTCCTCTCCCTTTCTGCCCTCTGCCCAGGTCCCCCAAACACACACACACTCGCTCACAAACTCACACACACCTCTGCCTCTGTCAAGCAGACACAAGACCTGGATATGGGTGGTGAGAAACTGTAAACAAAGATACTGACATTTGTACCCAAAGATCTAGCCTCCTCTCACCCCCAAGGCCTGTGTCTAAAGCCACCTCTCCCTTCCTAGACTGCCCCCCTCCCCTGAGCTGCCCAAGCTCCGGCTGCTAGAGGAGCTGCCAGGGGTGCCCTCCACAGCCCTCCCTCCGGGGTCCACACCCTCAGTCGCTTCCTCAGGAACCCGAGTTCAGTACTGCCTTCCCTCCCCATTCCTGAGCCCAAGGGAGGCCTCAGCTCCAAGAGAAGTGGCAGCAATAGTGAGTCACTTGGGCGGGACAGACCCAACCAAATCTGTCACCATGAAAGGTCAGCTGGAGAGACCCAAGTCCCCCTCCCTTCACCAGGGACCCAAGAAATCAGAGGTGATGCTTCCCTCTGCCCCACGGCTCCCGGCCACCACCCTGGCCTGGGCCCCCTGTGCAAAGTAAGGCTCCTCGGGACAGCACGTCCCCACTGAGCTGAGGACCAATGGGCTGGAGAACTGCCTTCTCCCCCTCCCCCAGCCAGGCCTGTGGAACAGATTGGGAAAGGCTCAGATTGCAGAAACCCAGCCCTGCCTCTGCCCCTGTATCCTCCCCCCAACTCGGTGCCAAAGCTTCCTGAAGCCAGAAATTTGCTTATTATCAGTGTAGTGGACATTTCTCTCCTAATGACAAAGCAGCTCCACTCCTCCTCCCTCCCACCTCCATGGAAAGGAGCCCACCACCCTGTAACCCCCCCACAGCAATGCCCCTACACAGCCCCAGGCAGCCAGCAATGCCAGCACCCCCATCCTGCCTTTTGGCACCCCCATCCTGCTCTTCTCTTCTTTGGACCTTAGCTTCAGGACTGATGGTGTGAAGGCTCCCCAAGCCCTTCATGCCTGAAAGTTGAGCCAAATCAGCCTTAAGTCACCTCCCATCCAAGAACTGGAACCTAAAAATACCCCCTGCTTCTAGCCCTCCAGTCACAGCTTCCCAGGGGGGAGGGCTTTTCCCATCTCCCCAGAGGTGCCTAGCCTGTCTTGTAGAAAACTGGGAAGAAAGTGTATTCTGAAGGCCAGTTCCTCCCCCAACTCAGATCATCCATCCCTCCTCCTGCTCCCATCAAGGTTCTGTCTGGACAGCCTCCAGGTCAGGATGAGAGGGCCATGGCAAAAAGTCACTGTGGGGGGCTCAGAAAAACCCTTTCTCTGTGGTTTGCAGACTTGCAGGTATCCTGTCCTGCAGGCAGGGCTGCCATTCCCCCTGCTCCAGAGAAAGTACTGTTGTTCCCCATGCTCCAGAGAAGGTACTGTTGTTTGCCCTTGGCCCTTGGAGCCTCCCCACCTCATCTGTTGGGCTAAGGACTGGGATTCTTTTATCCCAGGCAGAAGTCCCCCTCACCCCAACTCCTCATACAGTTTGCTGCAACTGGAATACCTGGGGAGCCCTTCTGGCCTACTTGGCCTCTGGCTCCTCACCTGGCCTGCCTGAACCTGCATCAGTGAGATGCTGGTTTGCTCCAAGTTGTGGCCCCTTCTGAGTGGACTCCAGGTAGACTGGGGCTGGCCCCTGGAAGATCAGGGGACCATCCTCTTGTTCCCTCTTGTCATTCGTCCAACCTCCTCCAATTATTGTTTTGTTGGGTTTTTTTTTGTAAAGTGGATGCCTTACTTTTTGGATAAATATTTTTGAAGCTGGCATTTCTATTTCTTTGGGATTTTTAAGTTTTTGGGGTTTTTTTCTCCCCTTCAGGAAGGGTTTTAGTTATACCTGGATAATAGTCTTCTGTCTTTGTTTAGGTTTTAGAATTTTGTTTTGTGAGGGTTTTTTGTTTTCTTTTTTGTTGATGTAATAAAATTTTAAATGGAAATGAAGTTGGTGGTGTTGATAATTCAATGACCTTCCAAGACAGAGTGGCCAGGCACTCCCTGTCTCGTCAGGAGGGAGGTCTTTGTTTAGCAGGTTCCTCCCAGGATGGCATTCCTGAAAGCCCTTGCATTCCATAGCTTTGAGGTGTCCTGGGGCCCAGTGCTAGCACATTCAAGCAGCTCCCTCTCCTTTTGAACCAAAAACTCCTTACTTTCGTGAAGTCATGAGTATTATTGTTCCTACTGATGTATTGTACTGTTCATGTGTGCCAAGTCACTTCAGTCGTCTCTGACTCTGCAATCCCGTGAACTGTAGACTTCGAGGTTCCTCTGTCCATGGGATCCTCCAGGCAAGAATACTGGAGTGGGTTGCCATGCCCTCCTCCAGGGGATCTTCCTGACCCAGAGATGGAAACCACGTCTGTTACATCTCCTGCCCTGGCAGGCAGATTATATCACTAGCACCACCCGGGAAGCCCGTATTGTGCTGAGAGCCAGCAAACTATGGAAAGAACCTCATCCCTACCCAGGGTGCAGTGGGCAAGGGACAGACAGCGCCAAGCTGAGTGGAGGGAGGTGGAGGCAGGGGTGGTCTCCCAAGGCCCAGTCAACAAAGGGAAAGGCATCAGAAAGGAACAGGATAAGCCTGTGGAGAAACAACCCCCCTCCAGTGGAAGAGGCTTAGGAAAGCACCCAGCTGGATGCCAGAGGTCTGATGGGAGGGACTGGGAGGTGAGGTGGGGTCCACTCAGTCATCCAAGTAGAAGAAGAGGAGGACTGAGGGACCAGGAAAGAGGAGGAAGCAGTCAAGGTAAGGACAAGTACCTCCTGGCGCTCTGGGTTAATCTCTGGAGGAAGCTGACAGGATTAGATCCGGTCCCTCCTCTGCGGGCAGCCCTCCCGCGGCCTGTCCTGAGACTGCATCATTCCAGAGTTGGCACTGCTGACAGACGCGCGGAGGTGGCAGGGGCGGAGACGGGGGTGTTAGGACATCACTGTTCACCATCTGGAACGCTGTGAGGACACTGGCAGGCAAGATGCCTCCACTCCCAGTCCCGGCCTAGCCCCAACATAACTGTTTTGTGGCTGGCATTCTAGACTGAGGCTGGAGGCTTGCCATTCACAGCGGTACAGACTCTTGGCTCTGAGGCCCAGCTCAGCCACCAAACAGCTGTGTGTCCTTGGGCACGTCGCTTAGCTTATTTAGCACTTTCAGAGGGATGAAAAAAGAAGATCGAACCTAATCTCAAAGGGTTCCTGAATCTCCCAGCCCACGGCTGTCCCAAAAGAGTGAGGGCAAACTGGGCAGAGGCCAGTCTTGTGCAAGAGGCCCTTCTCCAAGCCTCATATCCACCCTTGGGGAGCCCCCAATTCCCCAACACACGCTTGTTCTTTTCCCAGGCTGCCCAAGGCTTCCTCATGTCACCCCATTCCAGCAAGTCCAGCCCTCTCAGTCCCTAGAGACACCTGTCCCTGGTAGCCCCCTCTCTTTTGTAAGGTGACACTTGCTGATCTTTCAACCTGCTCAAAAGGGCAAATGTGGGTCTCCTCCTAGGCAACATGCATTTATTTTTAACCTGGGCCTTTATGCTGTCTTAACCATGTCAGTCACTTTAATGTGGGGAATTTCAGATGCTCTGACCTTAGGGAACTTGGGAGCCTTTGGAGAGCACTGAAATCACAGCTATTTATGCATTCATTTATTAATGTAGTCAGTAAATATTTCTCTAACCACAGTATCCAAGATTTTGCTATGCGCCGTGGGAATAGCAAACTTACCCTTGAATTTTCTAAGTCAGCACAGACTTCAACTATTTTATTTCATTGTCTCCATAAGAACAGTCATATATGTCAACCCACCTCTCCCTAATTTTAGTTCAGGTAGCCTGGTTACCCTAGCTGAAGAGGTGTCTGACCTTCCTTTAAGGAGCAAATAGTCTTTATGGGGAAAAGACAAGAATGCACATGGTACATGTATGTGCACATCACAGCATCACTGCCCACACCTCTGGGCTCTGAGCTTCTACAGGCAGGACTGAACCGGCCAGTTCCCTGAAGTTTGTGCAGTGCCTGGGACCTACCAGGTTAGAAATGCTTGTCCATATATGTATGGCTGAGTTCCTTCACTGTTCAACTGAAAGTATCACAATATCGGTAACAGGCTATACCCCAATGGAAAGTTAAAAAGTCTAAATTTAAATAAATAAAATTAGAAAAAAAAAAATCTTGTCCAATTGAAGCTTCAGACAAGGCTGCAGAAGCATGTCTCTGGAGAAGGGCATGGCACCCCACTCCAGTAGTCTTGCCTGGAGAATTCCATGGACAGAGGAGCCTGGCGGGTTACAGTCCATGGGGTCGCACAGCTAACTGAAGCCAGTTAACACACACAGAGACACAGAGAAACCCCCACTAGAGAGTGGTCAGAGGAGGGTTGGAAGGAGACTGACCGGCTAAGCCCAGTTGCTTTCTATACATTATCTTATTCAAAGTTTAAACAGCCGACAAAGGCATTGCTACTGCTTTTTTACAAGTGTGATTAAGTAACTCGCTCAAGGTCACCTAGAGGTAGGTGACAGAAGGAGCTTTGAGACTGGCTGAGGGAGGTGGTGTTTGAACCAGGCCTGATACAAAGTCATTAAGATAGCACAGATGCATTGTTTCAGTCAAGGCACCCAGGTAGCAACTGCAGCAGCAGGGAGAAAAGGATTCCAGGCGGCCACGGAGGGCTTCCATCCGTTCCTGCTCAACTCCGCCGAATCCCAGACCCCCCCCCGCCCCGCCCCCGGCGCTGGGCTGGCACTGCCCTCCCCACCGGCCTCCCGTCCAGCGCCCGCCCCTCACCACCCGGCGCGAGACGTCCAGAGCGCCCCGTTACTAGGAAACACGGCGACGTCAACCGGGGAGGTGAGGGGCCGAGACCGCTTATCTCGCCCCCAGGCTGAGCTCCCGAGCTTTCTCATTTCCTGCCGGCCTATTTGCACACCTCCCGGCTTCCTCCAGGGCCGACTCGCCCGTGCCTGACGCAGTCTCCCCCTCCCACAGGGTGCCCGTCTGAGGGCAAAGGAGCTCTCTCTGAATCACTGAGCTCGGCCTTTCCCTATCCCTTCTCCCCTGGGGGGTGGGGGGTAGGGGGGTTCCTAGAACTAGACCACTGCTTTTCCCGCCCCCCTACCTGGGTCAAAGCCGCATCCTTACATGACCTTGGGCAGCTCAGCCTCTCAGCCTCGTTTTCCTCCTTTATAAAGCAGAGATAAAAATACCATCTGTCTGGCTGCTATCCAAAAGTCTACAAGCAATAAATGCTGGAGAGGGTGTGGAGAAAAGGGAACCCTCTTACACTGTTGGTGGGAATGCAAATTAGTACAGCCACTATGGAAAACAGTGTGGAGATTTCTTAAAAAGCTGGAAATAGAACTGCCATATGACCCAGCAATCCCACTTCTGGGCATACACACCGAGGAAACCAGATCTGAAAGAGACACGTGCACCCCAATGTTCATCGCAGCACTGTTTATAATAGCCAGGACATGGAAGCAACCTAGATGCCCATCAGCAGACGAATGGATGAGGAAGCTGTGGTACATATACACCATGGAATATTACTCAGCCATTAAAAAGAATTCATTTGAATCAGTTCTAATGAGATGGATGAAACTGGAGCCCATTATACAGAGCGAAGTAAGCCAGAAAGATAAAGACCATTACAGTATACTAACACATATATATGGAATTTAGAAAGATGGTAACGATAACCCTATATGCAAAACAGAAAAAGAGACTCAGATGTATAGAACAGACTTGTGGACTCTGGGAGAAGGCGAGGGTGGGATGTTTCAAGAGAACAGCATCGAAACATGTATATTATCTAGGGTGAAACAGATCACCAGCCCAGGTTGGATGCATGAGACAAGTGCTCGGGCCTGGTGCACTGGGAAGACCCAGAGGGATGGGGTGGAGAGGGAGGTGGGAGGGGGGACCGGGATGGGGAATACATGTAAATCCATGGCTAATTCATTTCAATGTATGACAAAAACCACTGCAATGTTGTAAAGTAATTAGCCTCCAACTAATAAAAATAAATGGGAAAAAAAATAATAAAACTGGACAAGAAAAAAAAAATACCATCTGTCTTGCTTACTTGCCTATTTAATTCACAGGTCTGCACGGAAATGGTCTGCAAGGAAGAGTGTATGTTTCAATTATTGAAAATGCATAACACCAGAAAATTCAATGCCCTAACCATCATGATTATTTCATTGTGGGGGTGGAGGGGTAGAATGCTTCCTCATTGAGACAACCCTCTCTGCCTGCCCACTCTCCCTGCAACTGACCTGCAAACCTCCATCTCGGCCTTGTTTCCTCTTCCTCATTCTGGGCGTCTTGCCCTTGCCAGGGCTGTGGGAGCCTGCCCTCTACTGTTCACCTGGTTCCTGAGCAAAGAAGCCACTCAAGTCCTGAATTTTGGACCAATATTACCACCTGGTGGCTAACTGAGGCACTGCTGAAAAACTGAAGCAGTTCCCCTCTGGTAGTGTTTGCCACAGGATCCTCTGAAATGAAGAGAAGGTAGAAATCTCCCTGTCAGGGACCGGAGATCTGTCTCCTGGACGCTAGCAGATTCCTCATGCTAGGTCAGAGCTTTTGGAGAAAGTGCCTCAAGCTATGCACAGAAACGGGGGGCACTCTAACTAGAGGGGGTAGTTGCCTGACTTGCAGGGAGCCCTACATCTGCACATTTTATTTTAGCGTTCAATGTGGTACACAGTTGATAAGGGTGAAAGAGAGAGAAAAAGATGGCTTAAAACTCAACATTAAAAAAACAGATTATGGCATCTGGTCCCATCACTTCATGGCAAATAGAAGGGGAAAAAGTGGAAACAGTGACAGATTTTATTTTCCTGGGCTCCAAAATCACTGGGGACAGTGACGGCAGCCATGGGATTAAAAGATGTTCCTTGGAAGGAAAACTATGACAAACCTAAACAGCATATTAAAAAGCAGAGATATCACTTTGCTGACAAAGATCTGTATAATTAAAGCTATGGTTTTTTCAGTAGTCATGTACAGATGTGAGAGTTGAAACATAGAGAAGGCTGAGCACCAAAGAATTAATGCTTTCAAACTGTGGTTCTGGAAAAGACTCTTGAGAGCTCCTTGGACTGTCAAACCAGTCGATTCTAAAAGAAATCAACCCTGAATATTCATTGGAAGGACTGATGCTGAAGCTCCAATACTTTAGCCACCTGACATGAAGAGCTGACTCATTTGAAAAGAGCGTAATGCTGGGAAAGATTGAAGGCAAAAGGAGAAGGGGGTGGCAGAGGATGAGATGGTTAGATAGCATCACTGACTCACTGGACATGAATTTGAGCAAACTCCGAGAGGCAGTGAAGGACAGGGGAGCCTGCCGTGCTTCAGTCCGTGAGACGCACCTGAACACCTGAACTACGATATGGTACACAGCCCCTCTATATCTGACCACTGAGGTCTGGCCCTTGTGCCCAATTTACGAAAACTTTTGGCCTCCACAGGGCACTCACAGCACTTGCTGGTGACAAAAGAATCAGTGACACATTTCTGTGTGTCCTTTCCTCTTCACTGTAGCTAGGTGGATCAGTGGTAAAGAATCTGCCTGCCAGATTGAACTGCCAAAACTCAGGTTCAACCCCTTGGTCCGGAAGATCCCCTGGAGAAGGGAATGGCAACCCACTCCAGTATTCTTGCCTGGGAAGTCCCATGGAGAGAGTAACCTGATGGGCTACAGTCCATGGGATCGCAAGAGTCAGACACAACTTAGCAACTAAACAACAACACAGTCCCTTTTGCAGATGAAATGTAACAGGTAAAAGTCAGTGTCTCTGACAGGAGGGAGTAGGGAGTTCCCAGAGAAAAGAGAAAAGGGAAGGGAGAGGGGGCCTGGTCTGAGACCAAACGTGCAGAAAGCGAGCCGTGGGCTTCTCCCTGAGACCCTGAAACAGAGCCCCAGGAAGAGGTGATGACAAAAGAGAAGGCTTTTGTCAAGCCTCACAAGAGGAAGTGGACCCAAGAGACACGCATCGAGGTCAGAGAACGGCCATGCAGAAGGAAAAAGAGCAAACCAAGCTGCAGCGAGCTCCTGAGCCCTGCGGCCCGGCCACAGGAAACGGGCAGAGCCCTCAGGACCTGTACAGGGCAGAGCGCCAGCCCGAAGCTCTGGCAGCACAGGCCAGGCGCTGGAGCCACCAGAGGAGCGCAGCTGTTGCTGAGGCCGCCGGGTCTGGGGCATGGAGCCCAAGCCTTGACCAGCCCTGCCAAGACAGGGCAGTCAGGGACAGTGCCAGGTTGCCAGAGGTAACCTGGGCTGGAAACATGTGCAAGCTTGGGCTATCGCACAGACCCCATGCAAAACTTAGCAGAAGAGCCTGCCTTGCTCCAGAAGACAGATCCTAGTGTATGGCTTGGTCCCAGACTTATCACTGCTTCCTGTGGGTGTGTGTGTGGGTGTGTTCAGTCTTATCCGATTTTCTGTGACCCTATGGACTGTAGCCCACCAGGCTCCTCTGTCCATGGGATTCTCCAGACAAGAATACTGGTGTGGGTTGCCATTTCCTCCTCCAGGGGTTCTTCCCTGTCCAGGGATCAAACCCACATCTCCTGCATCTCTAGCGCTGCAGGCAGATTCTTTACCACTGAGCCATCTAGGAAGCCCATCACTACTTCCCAAACCCCTCAAACAACACCCCTGGTCTGCACCCAGGAGAGTCGTTTGGAGAGGTAGGGCTACAAAAGGAACTGAGTGGCTCTGGGGGTAGGTGGAGCCCAGCACTGTTGCGGGGGCGGGGAGGGGGGGTACTGAGAAGGAGGTGTGTCCAGGGAGGAGCTCGGATCAGGCTGGGGGTCAGCACTGGAAGAGGGTTCCTCTCTTCCTTCTGCCTGGGCACTCATTCTGCACAGGACATTTGGAAGTCAGAGGGAGGAGGACACTCAGAGTGAGGTGTTGCCCTCAACGAGGATTCTGGAACCCCCCGGACTCGACGGGGAGGGGGAGGCATTCCCAGAAGCATCGGCTCCCAGGCATCTTAGAAACCCTGTCTTGGGGCCTGACCAGGGTAGCCCCCATCTGCTAAATAGGCCAGAGGCCCCGATTCTCTTAAGGCTTACATCCCTCCCTCTTGGGTGCGCCCTGCCCCTCCCTGAGTCACCCCAGGGAGAGAGGGGAAAAAAGGGAAGAGAAAAGAGGCATTGACTAGAGAGGAAGGAAAAGGAAACAGCAGAGGAGGGAGGAGAGAAGCCACACAGGAGTGGGTGACGGCGGAGATCGGAGAGGGCAGATCTAGGGCAGATCTAGGGCAGGGGGAGACAGACAGCCGAGCATCCCGGAGGGTGCCCCAAGAGCAGGGCGGCCAGGGGCGGGGAGCCGAGGGGGCGGGCCGGTCATGTCCCACGGGACCTACTACGAGTGCGAGCCCCGCACCGGCCAGCAGCCACTGGAGTTCTCAGGGGCCCGCGCGGGGCCTGGGGAGCTGGGGGACATGTGTGAGCATGAGGCCTCCATCGACCTGTCTGCCTACATCGAGTCTGGGGAAGAACAGCTTCTCTCCGACCTCTTCGCCGTGAAGCCGGCCCCTGAGGCCCGAGGCCTTAAGGGCCCCGGGACCCCTGCCTTCCCCCACTACCTGCCGGCTGACCCACGGCCCTTCACCTATCCCCCACATACCTTCGGCCCCGACAGGAAGGCCTTGGGGCCTGGCATCTACAGCAGCCCAGGGAGCTACGACCCCAGGGCTGTGGCCGTGAAGGAGGAGCCTAGGGGGCCCGAGGGCAGCCGGGGGGCCAGCCGCAGCGGCTACAACCCTCTGCAGTACCAAGTGGCACACTGTGGGCAGACAGCCATGCACCTGCCCCCGGCCCTGGCAGCACCCAGCCAGCCACTGCGCGTCCTCAAGGTAAGAACAGCTCAGTTCTCCCCGCCACCACCCAGGGGCTGGAGGGAGGCCGTGTGGACGGGATCCGTGTGTGGTGTTGCTGTGTGGAGTCCACCCACCCAAGCCCTCTGTGCTCGCCACCCAGCCACGACCCTGCTTGGCCTCTCTGTGAATTCACTCCCACCCGGACCCCACTGTGTGGCCGGAACCCATGTGTCCTGCAGTCGACCTGTGACCAGCTGGCCTGCCCTGATCTAAGGGCATCCCCCTCCAGCTTCTCTGCTGCCCACCAGCCCCCTCCTCTTCTGTGCGGCCTCCTGCTTCTAGAAGAGGAAATGCCTGCTGAGGGTAGAACTGGAGACTCAAGACAGATGGAAGGAAAATGGCCTCAGAGCGTGTGGGGGACATGAAAGGCAGTCTGGGTCCAAGCAGCGGATCCTGTGCCGCTAGCAGGGCAGTGGTTGTTCTGACGGGGCCAGGAGCTAGCCCTGAATCCCACACTCCTCAGACGCCCCTCCTGTGTTCCGGCTGGTGGGATCCCTGCCCCACAGACCTCACTCCTTTCCCCCACCCCCGCCCATGCCTCCCCCTCCAGGCCCCTTTGGCCGCTGCCGCGCCCCCCTGCAGCCCGCTCCTCAAGGCTCCCTCCCCCGCGGGCCCCTCACACAAGGGCAAGAAGGCGGTGAACAAAGACAGCCTGGAGTACCGGCTGCGGCGGGAGCGGAACAACATCGCGGTGCGCAAAAGCCGGGACAAGGCCAAGCGGCGCATCCTGGAGACACAGCAGAAGGTGCTGGAGTACATGACCGAGAACGAGCGCCTGCGCAGCCGCGTGGAGCAGCTGACCCAGGAGCTAGACACGCTGCGCAACCTCTTCCGCCAGATCCCTGAGGCCGCCAACCTCATCAAGGGCGTGGGGGGCTGCAGCTGAGCCCACCTGGAAGACTGTGGGCCCCAGCTCCCGAGCTCAGCCTGACCCTTCGGACACCCCCGACCTCGCTGGGGCCCCAGAGCCCCTCACAGGCCCAGCCAGAGGCAGAGACCATGGACAAGTGGCAGCGGGTGGCAAGGAGGGCAGGCCCGGCATGATGATTCTGTGGCTGAATAAAACTGCTTATGACTCGGTGCTGGGACTGTGCACTGGGCCTGGGCCAGTGTGGGGTGTTGGGGTGTGGGGGTAGGGAATGCACGAGGCTAAGTCTGTATACCTCTTGATTCCAGGCCCAAATAAACACTTGGGAAATTCAGCAGACAAGCTGCACATAGCTGTCCCCCAGCGTACCACACAGCCAGGCCTGGTATCTGTCCCTCTGCTCTTCTCTTCCTGGACCCGGCCTACTCTACTCCCACCCTAGAGGACCTGGAGTGGCCTCTGGACATTCCATTAGCAGAGCTCTGTGGTTTGCGGGGAGATCCCAGTATCTCCCGGCCCTCCTGCCCAGGCCTGCCGACTCTCGCCCTGCCCTCCCTCACTTTGACGTGTAGCTCTGGGACTTCCTGCCCCAGGAGACCAAGGGAAAATTCCAGATGGCTCTGATGTATTTATGGTCACTCAGCAATTGATCTGAGGTGAAGGAAATGGCAACCCACTCCAGTATTCTTGCCTGGAAAATTGCATGGACAGAGGAACCTGGCAAGCTACATACAGTCCACGGGGTCGCAAAGAGTCGGCCGCAATTGAGCACATTAGCAACTGATCTGAGACTCAATCCCTTCTCCCCAGTTCCCAAACTTCAGTCTACCAGACTGACAGACCCGCATGCTTCCAACCCACCCGTGCCCACCTTTGTCCTCCATTCCTCGGGGCTTAGGTTCCTTAAAGAATCTGAGTGTTTGGGGGACAAATTAGTTGGGAAAGGCCTCGAGACCTGTTCATATACAAGAAAATTGATAATGAGGAGGATGACAACCCCCACCCCCACCCCGTGCAGTGAACCCCATGTGGAAAGCAGTTTTTTCGTAGAACTCTAGCCTGAGAGGCATAATATGACAGTGCTTGACAGCCTCAGTTTGAATTTCCCTTTGCTACTTGCTAGTTGTGAGACCTCGTGCCAGTTACTTCTCTCCGTGCCTCAGTTTCCACATCTGCAAAATGGGAGGAGTAGTAATGCTATATGCTCACAGACAGTGCCTAGCACACAGTGAGCACGAATACTTGTTATTGTTTCCTTTTGCTACAACTGAAAGGACCTCAGAGATCTCATCTAAACTTCTCATTCTGCAGGTGAGGAAACCGAGGCCTCCGAGAGGGAAGGGACTCACTCATAGAGTCATGAGATGAGTTAGATGCAGAACCAAAATTAGCTCCATAAAATCACAGATCTCAAAGGGGCTGGAAGCAACCTCAAGAGATCATCTGGTAGGCTTTGCCCTCAGACAAGAAGATAGTGTGAGCCACATTTGATAGATAAAGCAGTTGAGGACCAGAGGGATAAGAGGCATTCTCCGGAAGCTCACCCAGGCCCTTTGCTGGCTCCACACACACACCTGTCTCTCTACTTTACACTCACACCCTCGCCTTGGAGGCATATGGAACAGTGCAGGGCACACGGGTCCCGTTCAGTCAGTAATCAAGGATTGTCGGATAGAATCAGAAACATGAGAGATTATAGAGGCTGGTTACAGTCTCTCCTAGGTCACCAATGACTTACAGGCCACTGTTGAGATAGCAGTGCTAGACATCAAGGAAAAAACCTTCTGAGGGGGAGAGAGTCTGGGGTGTAGATCCTCCCAGTCCCCTCTCTCTCCCCCTTCCTCCACATCCCCGGGTTAGAGCCTCCACATTGCAGACATCTGCGTGCACCGTGCCTGCCTCAGGACTCAGTCTCTTTCCTGCCTTTGCCTCCGTGCCGCTCAGGCACCATCTCCACCACATCTGTGCCCTGGATCCCCCTGCCCCAGGTCCGGTTTGGACAGACAGATCTGGACCTCACTAGATGGTTTAGTCTACCTGAGTTGGGAAGAAGGAGGTGCCCATCTCAGTGGATGCCTGGGAGAATCCCACACCTTCCTTTCAGCCCAAGGGGATGGGTTGCATAAGGGGGGTTTGTACAGAGCATGGTAAGTGACTCAACCTCCGGATATCCTCCTCTCAGCTCAAGACCACTGCCCCTGGACTGATGTTCAAGGTTCTGGGTGATGGGACCTGGATTGCTTCAGTATCAGTCCTATTTCCTTCCCACAGTTCTGAATCATGTCTCCTCCCAGCTCCCAGCACCCGGGGCTCCTCGGGGCGGGTGCCTGCCATGGGGTCTGGAGGAAAGCCACAGCCCCAGGTGAGAGAAGCGCATACCTGGGCCCTGCCTGATGCAGAGTGGTGGGCACACTGCAATCCTGTGGTAGATTGCATCCCGGGGAGAAGACAGGTAGCCAGAAGTCACACTTTCAGAATGAGGTTTTTCAACTGGTTTGGTAAATTATTCCACAAGTATTTGTTGAGCATCTTTCTCATACCAGGCCCTTGCAAGTTTCTGAGGACACTGTGGTGACCAAGATAAGTCCAACTCTTAGCTGAATAATTCCTCCACCTGTTGTGTTCAGGCAGTGCAGGAGATTGTGGGCCGCAGGAGAGTGAAGTCAAGTGCTTAGCCCCTAACGCCTGGGGACAGGACAAGGACTCTCTGCAGCTGCCTTATAGCCTGGGAGGGTGAAGGCTCTCTGCTGCTGCTGGAGCTTACCACTCCTGCAGCAGGTAACACAGCAGGAGGAGGTAACACTGAAGTTGAAACCTTAAAAATGTCCTAGAGGAGGCAGATGTGCTAAACTGGGGGGAAGGGGAGCAGGGGGAGAGCAAAGGCCAAGGCCGTGAGCTCTCCTGGTCCAGAAGAAGCAAGGAGAGCAGGTGAGGCTGACGGAATGGAAACATGGAAGAAGAGTAGGCCAGAACTGCACCACCCTCCCTCCAGGACAGCCTTCATCCCCTCTGAAGGAGCAGGCTCCCTGCACCCCCGAGCCCCTCCTCCCCCACCACCCCGCCACAGAGATGCCTGCGTCCAGAGGTGGCAGAAGAAAGGCACCCCTGGGAAGGGTGGTTAGTCTCACCCCTGCCTGGGGAAAGTACAAAGTCCTGGGGCAAGGGCATGGGAACTTTGAAAACCAACAAATCAAGATCCAAACAGCACACACTTGCATTCCCTTGGCTTTACAATCCACAGTTTGGCCCACTTTTCCTTCATGAGCAAAACTGGGACCAGTGTAAGAGTCCTGAGCTGACAGCCCAGATCTTTGGCCCCAGGGAAGGGGGAGAAGGGAGGATGTTGGACATACCAAGAGGGAGGAAGTTGTCCAAGGTGAGAGCCTGCCAAGGTCAGTCCGAGGTGGCGGCTGCTTGTGAAAGCTGCTCCCCCTGCTTGGTGCACACCTCCCCACCCCACCCCCCATGGATTGCCACATGCCTGGGCCCCCAGGGCCCCCATCCCAGTGTTGCAAGATCCCGGTTGGGGTTGTGGGGGTGGAAAGGGGCCTCTTCACCTCCACCCCCTACCCTACCCTGCCCCAAGCCAGTGAGGGGACCATGGGATGGAGGGGGCTATATGGGATATGCTGAGGCGACAGTAGCCAGGGCCTGTGCACTCCTCCGGGACGGTCACTTTCCATCACCACCAGCCGGCAGATCTTTCCTTTCAGCTGGAGCTGGTCCCCGATGGGAAGGATCCAACCTGGACAGGACTCCAGGCTGGCCTGTCAGCTGCCCCCAAAAGCAGACCTGGCTTGGCCCCAGAAAAGCACCAGTGAGAAGTTCTCTGAGGAGGCCCATCAGAAACTCCCTGAGGCTACCCCATGGGGAAATGATGGGTATTTTCAGAGGAAAATGGCTGCACCTGGCCATCAATTCTGACTTCAGGGAGCAGCAGAAGAGTTCTAGGACTTGGGAGAAGGAAGGCTTCCTACTAGGGAGAGGACCCCCCCCCACCCCCCCCCCNCCCCCCCCCCCCCCCCTCGCCTTGCTGTGGAGCTGGAACCTCTCCTTCTCTTTCAGAAACCCAGATCTGAGTTAGGTAGAGGCAAGCTGTACATAGCATGGATCCCCCACACCCCACAAGCCAAGCTTCACCCCAAAGCCCCAAACTGTCCAAAACCCGATTGCTCCCCACACCTAGCACTGTCACCCCTGGCCAGACCATCCAGCCCTGCTGCAATCGGGACGGTTTGCAAAACGCCTGTAGCTCCCGCTTTGTCACCATCTGAGGTTAGGACTGCGCTCAGGAGATAAGCCCAGGCCCCACCCGCCGTCCCGAGTGAGACTGCTGGCCTGCTGCAATCGGGACGGTTTGCAAAACGCCTGCTGGCTCCAGCTCTGTCACCATCTGAGGTTAGGGCTGCGCCCCAAGATAAAAGTCTAGTCCCGCCCACCGGCTCTGCCTTCAAACCTTACAGGCAGCGGGGCCAAGAGACAGAGCTCCAGGGAAGCCTACTCAGGGTCTGGAAGCCTTAACCAGACCCAGCATGATGACCCCTTCTGCCTGTCCTCTCCCACCTCTTCTCCCCTTCATCCCCAGCCTCACCTTCGCACCCTGTCCTCATCAGCATCCTTTCCCCTCATTCTCCATCTACCTTCCCACCTCCCTTCTTTCTCATCACTCTCATTCATTCATTTGCTCAAACAATACTTACAACCCTGAAGGCATTTTGCTTGTTATAGGAGCTACAGGATAAGCAAGAAGGACAGTCCCTGCTCTTGTGGGGTTTACAGATTCACAAAGGGGACAGACAAACATACCCCCACCAATAAATAGATGGTTCTAAATTGCAGGCAGTGCTATGGGACAGAAATAAAGGGTGATTGTGACAGATGCTTATAAGAGAATCTGATTAACATGTGAGGGTCAGGAAGGGCTTTTGGAGGAAGTAACATGTAAGCAGATACCTCGAAGGTGAGTAGGAATCACTGTGGCAAAAATTGAGGGCTCCCAGCAGAGGCACGAGCTCCCCAAGCAGGACCTTCCCACTCATTGACAGAGGGTGGGGTTGGAAACAGACTAGACTGAGGGAGAGGTGAGGTCCAAGAAGAGCTGAGGCCAGATCTCGCTCCGAGGGGATGCAGAGCATCATGGGGAGGAACCACCTTCCAAAGGAAGAATACATTTCCTCTCTCCTAAGGTGAAAGAGGAGAAA